ATGTGCACATGGATCTTCACTGTTTAGGATAAACAGAAACGACTGTCCTCAACTTAGTGGTATACAATATTTATATGAAAAGGTGCTACTATCTAATTGGTCAAAAACTGTTGGGGAGAAGCTGTGGTTTAGACTTAACTCTCCCATCATTGGTCCCCCATCCTGGTCCGATCTTGTCCTTGGCGTGACCTTGTCCTGAAACAGACACTTTGCACAACCCACAATGCTTCTTGTTATCTCGGGAACCCTGAGACTGCACCTGGACTTGTTTTCTCCTAGACCAACATCTGACCATAACCTTGGTGTAAATCTTAGTATCTTATCAAACCCCAACTCCCCTGGCTTCAGGGCTCAGAGGGAATAATGAGCTCTTTTAGAAAAGGCAACAAATCTAATGAAAGCCTGTGGGATGATTAGACCTTGGAAAACCACTCAGTCCACCAGTCTTTTAATCACAAGAGCCTGCAATATAACACAAGTTTTCAGTGTTATATTGCTTCTCTTGGGTGAAAAATAACTACATAAACATATCTGTGACATGTAAGTATGTAAACTTATGTGTGCTATAAAATAAAACCATAAGTGCATAAAATAAAACTCACCCTAACACCCTCCTGTAGGCTGTCTGTCTCTACTTAGCTTATTAATGTACCAAGGTGATTTATCCTAAATACAATGGCTAACTTTCCAGTGAACAAACTGTAACATGTAAGCAAGACAGTTTTGTGGCTGTTGTAAGGATTTTCTCTGCTGGTGCCAACAGGAAGTTTGGACCATACAACACATGCAGGAAGTCTCTTCATCTCTGCTACTGGGCATTCGAGGAAGAACAATAAGTGCAACTATTTTTTAAACAAGGACTTTTGGAGTAACTGCAGTGGTGCATTCAGCATGTACTACACATTTATAATACTTATTTATTTATGTGCTTCCAAGAAACTGTTAGTTGACATTCATTTTAGTGTGGTATAAAATATGTAGTGTGCACTATAAGGGCTAAAATGTACAGACAGCAGTAGCCTATGATTGTCTCACATTACAGGGATAAGGGAAAGTACTTCCTAAAAGAATAGCTAATACAAATTTAACCAAAAGCCTCACAAAATAAAATTCCTTTAAAGTTATTCCTAGAAAAGGTGCCTTACTAAAAGAATACTACCAGTGTTAGTGCAAGTCTCTCCTCTTAAATCTGTGATTCCAGGGCAGAGGAGAAGCACCACTGTGTAGGAGAGAAGTATGGGAAGCTGTCAGACTCTGGCCTGGAATGAGCCTCTGAATGTGTAGCAGACAGGGGGCGAGAACGGCTCAGAGAGTGTCTGATATGGGGGGGCAAAGAAAGAAACAACCACTCTTCCACCAGAAGACCACCTCCCTGCAGCCCCGAGCAGCAGCCCAGTTCCACAGGCAGTTCCTCCAGGCGGTTACTGCGCAAGTCCAACCTGCACAGGTGACTTAAACCTGCAATGCCCCTGGGTAAGGAGCTAAGCGAGTTGTGAGCCACATTCAGGTTACGCAACTCCAAGCAGCTGCTGAAGAGATCAAGAGGCAGGCTTTCAAGCCTGTTCCCACTGAGGTCCAGCTCTCTAAGCAGCTTCAGTCTCTTCACGTCTGCAGGCAGCTCCTCTAATAGGTTGTCAGCCAGAAAGAGCCGGCGAAGGCAGCGGAGAGTGAAGAGTGCTGGGGGAAGGCTGTGGAGCTGGTTGTTGGACAGATCCAAGAGCTCTAGGCCTCGAAGTGCACCAACACTGGCCGGTACAGCCCGAACACAGTTATAGGCAAGCCTGAGGCAAGAGAGGCGTCGCAATTGGGCCAGACTGAGCAGCTCCTCCAGAGTTCTCAAGTTGTTATGCTGCAGGTCGAGTGTCCGCAGGTTGCTCAGAGCCGGCAGGGCAGAGGGCAGACGCTCCAGCTGGCAGTCCTGCAGCAGTAGCTCTGTCAGACTGACCATGCGCTTCAGACCTGTCAGCACAAGCAGCCTGGTGCCCTCATTGTAGATCTCCAGCCTCACCAAGCCACCTGCCACCTCACACAGCTCCCCACAGATCCGCTGTAACATACCTCGAAGCACCAGTACACGAAGGTGGTGAAGCTGGCGAAGACTCCCCAGTGCCCAGCTGCGGCCCACCCCACCTTCACTGCTCAGGCAACCAGAGAGGTGGAGTTCATGCAAGCTGCGAAGAGAGAGGACCCAGCTGGGGATCTCTGACGCCTGAGTAAAGGTGAGGTGCAGGACCTCCAGGCGTTCCTGGAGGACTCCGAGTGCACTGGGATCCACAACTGCTGGGCAGTGGTAGAGGTGGAGCTCCCTGTTGTAGAAACATCCAATAAAAGACAAATTTAGCTGTAGTAATACATGTCTGTACTGTGTATGTCAGAGCATTCAGAGCATCCATGCACTTTGATTTTAACTCCTTAGGCTCTAGGTAATTTTTTGAATATCCAAAAATACAGAATCCAACCAGCAGCAGTTCCACAGCTGTGATGCCAAAATGAACAACCTTGGGCTGTGGATCAGTGACATTTGGGAGAATTTAAAAACATAAGTCTACTTGTCCCCATCCCCAGGCCAGAGTGAGGTTTGAAAAGCAAAAAGCAAAAAAAGATCACATATGGAGATGTGAAAAAAGCCTTATGAAGGTGTTGAACCTGTTCTAAAAGTTTTAAACTGCAGCTCTACTCCATCTGATGCAGTATAAATGAAGTACAATGATGCAGTACTATCCATTTCAGCCACGTGGTACGTTTGGAGAGCCACATGTAACATGTTTAGTGCAGGTTATGTTTTATTAACAGAAACTTCATGGTCCCAAAAATATGTAGGCACCGGAAATAACTGCGCTGTTTGAAGCATGACTACACCACTGTGCAACTCACCTGAGTGAGGTCATGCTGCACACCTGTGCAGTTAACCTGGCATCTGTGATGAGCTCCAGTTTGAGGACATGAAGCTGGCTCAGGGTGAAGAGGGCTGGGGGGAGGCGAGGCAGGGCCACCAGCTGCAGACTGGAGCAGCCGTCTGCATTCACACTCCTCAATGCTCCCAGGCTCTCCCTCCTCTCCAGGTTCTCCTCCAGTAGCCGGTTCTCAGCGACAGGGGACAAAAACACAGACAGCCGCTGGGCCAGCAAAGGGTCATACTGGTCCAGCATGTGCAAAAGAAAGGCCAGGTCATTTCTCAGGTCTGGAACATCTCTCAGAGAGCACAGCTCCTTCAGCGAGCTGAAGGAATACTGTCGCAGAGAGCTAAGGGCAGAGATCAAAAACAATCACACAGAATATAATGGGGCCCACCTGCAAAGTTGGATCACAAATTTCTGTGGGGTGGGTAATTTTCCATAGCTAATTTGAAAATATTCATTAATGCAGCTTTATATTTGTATCAAAATGTACAGTTCTGGGTACTGTTACAGTACCAACACATGTATCCCTTCATACTTTACACACCTGTGTAAAATCCAGGTGAGGGCGTATAAGTTGAGCAGGCCATACACCCCCAGTAGGGTCAGGTAGGCCAACAGCAGTTTGTGTAGAAGTGAGGAGAGCACATGGATACAGTGAAAGGTGGAGTAGCCCAGCAGGGCCTGCTGCTCAGGGCGGCAGGTGTGGGTGAAGGACAAGGAGCCGAGCAGAGGGGCGGTGTAACTCACAACCAGCATTACCATCAGCAGTTTGAATATCGTCTGAGCCAAGTAGACCTGAACAGATGAAAGGGGGTCTGAAAACACTGATCGCTTTACCGCTGTAAAGATGAAGCCGTATCACAACACAAACTTTTATTTGTCTGACAAATAAAAAGTCCAGCTCAGGTGATGCAGCATATACATCTTCTAGACTCTCACCTTATAGATGACCGCTGAGTTTTCACAGTGGGACTGGAATTTCCTGACCTTTTCAAACAGAGCCCTGGCCTGTTCCCCATCACTTTTATCCAAGCTGGTGACCTGCCCGGGGTTCTCAGCAACTACTGACGGTGCGGAGGAAGGAAGCTGCATCTGGGAGCCGAGGGACCCTGATGACATGGTGGAGTGACAGGAGAATCTCAAAGGGCATGGGGAGGGCGGGATGGCAGAGGACACACTCTCTGACTTCTTTAGAAGGGGGCTGTCTGCCCCCGAGTCTGTGCTTGAGTGTCTTGTGCGGGTCACCGGGGGTGAAGAGGAAGAGGGAGGCGTTCGTCTCTCCACCCCCTTCTCTTGGATGTTTTCCTGTCGTGCAGTGTGGGACAGGGCCTGAGAAGTCCAGGGTGACTCACAGCACTTTGCCAGGATGGCCAGGAAGTGCTCTATGCAGGCAGAGGTGTGGGGGAAGTGAAGCCAGAAGGAACCGCTGGCCACCAGTACGACAGCCTGCAGCAAGGCCATGTAGGGGAAGAAGCGAGAGCACAAAGGCAAAGCCTGGTGGTAGCACACCTAGACACACAGAGAGAGAGAGGCCCATCTCTTTTCACAAAACAGCAGCGTTGTGGAACATACAACAGAATCACAACCTGTAACAGTGAATACTGGTGTGGCCCGTTCAGGATGCTGCCACAGTACCTGGCTGATGTAAACGTACTGCTGGTAGACCAGCTGTGTGCGTCGACCTCGGCCTGCAGAATGAGTTGGACTGATGTTGTGTGGACCGTGGGTTGGGGGCTTTGACGACGGAGCCACGTTGCTGCTGGTCCAGGACCTGTGATGAGTGGCATTTGCAGTGACACATGGGTCCAAGGGGATGCACACAACCTGGTCCCTGGACAGCTGCCCGGTGCAGGCCAAAACAGACGCCATCAGCATTAGGATCACCAGGTAGTCCATGAAGACCTCCCACCAGGGCTTCAGCAGTTTCCACCTGTTCTGGTGCTGGTTCAGAGGTGCCAGCTCCGACAGAGAAAACATGATGAGCTCCTGGTCCTACAGGGATGACTGGGAAAAGAAATGGGACTGAAGATCAGCACATGCGTTCTGTACGCAGTTGATGATGGAGAAAGTCTCACTTTATGTCTCTATCTAAATATTATAGGGTGACTATTTAGTGAGCTTAGTTGTTTGGTTGTTTCCTGTCACATTTTAAACATCACCCTTTTTCTTGCTCACATCAACTCTTCTTGCTACATATTTCCCCTCGTATGACTTTATGGTTATTAGTGTTCCTGTTTGTCTCCCCCTTCAGGGACTTTTGATAAGTTATGCAGTTTATTATTTACATGATTTGTAAATATAAAGACCAGAAGTTGTCATGTGACTCTATGTTTACATGGGCCAGTATTCAGGGGATTTAAACTAGTTTCAGACAGATGGACTACAAGCAAAGCTTAGTGTTTTCAAGGAAGGTCTTACAACTTGAGTAGCCTTTGAGCTTCCATATCAGCCAGTCAGATAAGGTTTAACATTTAACATCTGACAAAATGTCCACTTCTTTACAATAATACAAATCAGAACAGAAGAGTTCATATTGTTGAAGAGCCCAGGACTAAACGTTCACCTACCTGGGTAAATGACTGGCGCTCCTGCCTTTCTCTCCCTCGTCTCACAGCCCACTTACAGAAACTTCATTCCGGTATTGTCCGGTTCTGAAACTTAGAACAAACTCCTCCTCGGCTGTCTCACACACATTTTCAAGGGTCGCCATGGCAGCGAGGGATGTGTGGCTGAAAAATCTAATTCAGCACCAGAAACCTATTGAAGGCCTGGAGGGGGAGGCAGCAATCCGGCTCCCTTTAACTCCTTCACAACCAAATGACTCTGAGGAAAACAACAATGTTCTTACAGGAAATATCAATAGTAAAATACCTTCTCGGAGAATGGCCCCTTTTAGAGTTTCAGTATAGAAGCTGATTGAGGTGAAGCTCATTTTACCTTCTTTATCAGTGGTGGAAGAAGTACTCAGACCTTTTATTCTAGTAAAAGTACAAATAGCACAGTGTAGAACTACTCTGTCACAAGTAAAGGTCCTGCATTTAGAACCTTACATAAGTACAGTTAATCCTGAACTGTTCAAACCTAATTTTATGGCAATGCATCCAGTAGCTGTTCACAGGTTCCTGCTGCTAAATTCCCATCCAGGCACCACTGGCCGCCTGGCAGAAATACACTTACTGCAGTATATCCAGCAACATCCAGCAGGGGGCGCTGAAGATTGTGTCCTGTGAGTTCAGCACTCCACAAGTCTAATTCAATTCATGCTGTGATCCTCGGGGGTGCAAGACATACTCAGGTCCTTAAGCAAAAGTAGAAGTACCACAGTGTAAAAATATGGTGTTACAAGTAAAAGTCCTGCATTCACAGTGTTACTTTACTGGTACTTTACATCCTGGGTAACTGGTGAATTTCCCACCGGGATCAGTAACATCTGATGATGTTTGATTCATCTGATTCTGAGAAGAAACTGAAGGTATCAGGTACATGTAGTGCAGTAAAAAGTACACGGTTTGTCTCTGACATGGAGTGAAGTCACAGGATGAAGGAGCAGAAATGGAAATACTCAAGTAAAATATGAATACCTTACATTAAGTACAGGACTTCAGTAACTGTACTCAATTACTTTCACCGCTGTCTCAGATCTTTATGAAAGGATGCAGAGAAACCAGGTTTGTTTGCCAATAGGTTAAAGGTTACACAAGTTACAGACGCTGATGACTGAGGAATCATTTTAAGTTGTTGTGTGCCAGTTTGTGCATGTGTGAGTGCACGGGAGGGTCACATGTAAGCCATTGTGTTGTTTCCTTTGTATTTGGGCCAAGTAGAATCTGGAGCAAAGACTCAAACTGACAGTGAACCACAATGTGAGCTGCTACTCTACACAGCTGGTGTGTGTGTGTGTGTGTGTGTGTGTGTGTGTGTGGGAGCAGTAACAGTACATGTGAAAAACACTGGCATTTACTTTAACTGAAGACCAAGTGTGAAGTTGTAAGTGTGAGGGACGAGGACACGTCCTTAGATGACGTTACGTTAGTGTTATCACCAGCTACAGAGTTAACACAGGATTCCTGTGGTTTTGTAACTTGCTAAATCCAAAACCAGCCATGAGGCCACCTGCTGTAACTAGGTGCTGCTTCTAACCTCGGTAAACAGCATGAAGAATCACTGTGCTGTGCCTGACTGACTGCTCCCAGTTCTGCTGTCACAGCCTCTACATCACGTCTCTGAGCTTCCACATGTCCTGACAAGACTCTGCAGCCACGTTAGCAGCTCTGCTTCTTTAAGCTAAATGCTATTAGCATTATCAAAAGGCAGATTTATCAGCATTAACTTAACATCTGAAATTTAATTTTATGAATTTGAATTTAACTGTCAATGAAAACATTTTAACAACACGGGGGCGTTTGGGTGGGAGTAGTGGAATGCATGTGCATGTGGGGTTGGGGCTGTACGTTGGTAGACCCACTATATTTTCTATTACACATTTCCTATTATAATTTTTTTTTAATTTATGTTAGGTGTGTATCTGCCCAGCGACTACAGACGGAGACCGAGCTGTTTGCTAACTCTGGTGTAAGACATCTCTTCTCATTGTTGGTTGAGGTTAATGCCTCTCTTACACATGGTTCCTGATAAATAAAGTTTGTAATAATAATGGGCCATACTGTGTTTTACAGGTGTTTTGATACATATGAATGATTTCAATAAGTAAGGATAACAGTGCAGTGGAAACTCTACTGACACCACTCTAAATGTGCATGTAAAGTGTCCAACTCTTCCTTTAAATGCTTTATTACATTCTATGTGGGTCAGTGCTAACACTGCCAAACACTGGTAAACATCATAACACACCTTTTGTTTCCTCTTCCTCTCATTGTTTCTAAAAAACATTTAGGTCCCATGAGAAACTGGAACTCGCTGCATCTGTTATCTGGGAAACATGGCTTTAAAATTAGACAGTGGGGCTGTGGTGTGGCAGGTTCAACATGACTCTGGTTGTTTTTTTAGTGCTTTATAAATAAAGTTGGTATGGTATGGTATCATACCCTAACAACACCCTTGGTTTCAAAGTTCTGCTGCAAGAAGGCTTGTGGCTTCACACCTCTTCTTCTGCAACACAGACACACAGCCATGCCCATGCACAGGGATGTGTTGGGTGGGGCTGTGTTATGGGACGGGATTCACACGTCCATGTTGTGAAAACACATCACAAGCTTGCTACAGGCCTCATCGCAGCAAGTGGCCCGTACCTCCAACAGGCACTTTACACATGACAGTATTTATAGTTTAGGCTAAACAGTGCCTGACGTGAAGCAAGGTCAACCATTTGCTACTAAAGTTAAGGACCCAGAGCTGAGAGAGAACATGAAACATAAACCGATGTCAGTGTTTTGGGATTATGGGTCAGTCAGCGCCAGATGAAGAGACCTGAGCCGAGTGGCTCTCAGATCTAATCAACTGATTTAAGAAACCCAAAAAATAAAATCTACATACATGTGTGCAGCTGCTGATTGCAACGTGCAGGCTCTGTTTTGATTTATCATTGCTCCTCTGCTACTTTTGTGGGTTGTTTTGTCTCCATGCAAATATTGTGCAGCAGCTACCGATGCTCATTGTGATCATTTCTGTTGTGTAGTAATCTGTCAGCCTGCAGTGAAGACTTCCCTGTCCTTTGTGAAGGCCTGTGTGAACATTCTCCTGAAGTGCAATGACAAATTAATTATTTATAAACCAGTTTTCTCACACAGATAAGGTCCTATCAGTTGTGTAGCTGTGCACTGGATGATAACAGAACAAAACATCAGGCTGTAATTTATCTTGGGTTGGTCCAGCACAGCTCTATAAAACCACAGTATATAGTTTTTACACCTCGATTAACCAAGTGAGGTGTAACATCTACAGTAGTGAGCTTTACAGGTGCTGGTGGGTAGATTTTATTACACCAGTACAGAACCAGGTTACCTGTTTCACTGTAGCTAATCTATGCTAACACTCTGCTGGCTGTAGTTTCATATTTACTATAAAGACACGAGTGCTAAGGATCTTCCTAAGTCGGCCAAAACTCAAATAGAAACACTTGGCCACAGGTTTATGAGGTCCTGGCACTACAGCGGGGTTTAAGCTAAACCTTTACAACTCTGGAACACTGTCACTCAGCTGTATACTTGGCATGCTAGCACCATGGCTCTATGGCAATGCCGGTCTCTTGGTTGGTTGACCTACCACTTTGATCCAGTCTGAAACATCAACTCACCATGAGTTTTTACAGATACTCCTGGTTCTGATGATGATCTGAGTTTTCCTCTAGCGACATTTTCACTTTTTAAATTAAACATCAGCAAAACATGGATGGATTGCCATGAAATGTGATGCAAACGCTCACGTCTCCCTCAGGGTGAATTGTAATCGCTTTTCATTAAGATCAAATTTTCTGCCTCACTTGTAACTTGTGTTTTCTGCTAATTAGTGAATGTTAGTGTGCTAATTTGCTAAACTCAGATAATGGGAAGGTTGTAGTGGGTTATTGGTTTAACTCAGATAATGACCATGGTAACATTGTACATGTTAGCATGTTAGCCAAGTAAAGCCTCACATAGCTGCTAGCATGGCTGTAGACTCATAGTAACTTAACATTTCTGTACATTTATTTACTATTAGGCTTGTGGGAAAAGGAGGGGAAGTAAATAAATA